GTGAATACTTTTAAGGCCAGTAAAGCTATTTTGCTTGTTTCCTTTCTTTTTATTTTAAAATTCATTGAACTTTTCGAACACACCTTGTATGTACATCCACCATTTCGAGGATTTTCTAGAAGCTGAGTAATGTTTTCGACTCTGATCTGCTAGATCTACACCTCCCATATTTTTATTGTACTTGACAAATGCGAGTGGACATGGCACTATACTTTTTTCGGAGCCTTTTCTTCTTGTAGTAAAACATGGTTAATTTTTACAGTTTGTGGAAATGATATGTATCAATTTTTTATCAAGCCAGGATGAATAAAGTAAATTCAGCAGGCTTTTGCATTGCATAACTAAGCTGTCGTATTGATTTCCCAGCTTCATTTGCTTGATGTTCTCGGGCATGCTTTTCCGATTTGTCATCACAGTTCCACAAGATAATTGTCCAGATTTATATAACTCAGACATCAAGTTTAAGCTGGTGAAAAATCTGTCAAAACAGATTTCATGGCCTTTGTTTTTAAGTGCTTTTATTAAGTCCATAACTAAGTCACATCCTAAACCCTTTCCTGACCTTGGTATCTGATCTTTTTTACCACAATAAAGTTCAAAGTTGTACGTATATCCTAAGCGAGATGTACAGAGCATCCATATCTTTAATCCACGCTTAGCTGGTTTCATAGGCATATATTGCACGATCCCTAATCTACCTTTAAATTTAATTAGCGCTTTTGTCAATTGTTACTTCAGCATAAGGCACAAAATGTTGCTGAAATTTGTTTCTGAAATATGAAATGACAGGCTCTAATTTTTGTGCATATGTAAAGTTCTCTTTGCTATTTTTAACTTCAGTTTCCCTATCAGAGAAATGAAAATAATGCTTGATTTCCAAAAATCTCTTTCTTCTCATCATTTTCTTCACCATTTCATTTCCAAGCATTGCGTTATTTGACCAATAATCACTTATTCTTGGTAATTTTACAACACTCATTATGAGATGGACTGTAATGAATGCCCATATTTCTTTTATGGATGAAATTTTTTCCCATTGACGATCAACAATGCCATGCTTTCTTGCACAGAATTCACCATATTTATTTGTATTTGTGAGAATTAATTCACAAATTTCATCCGTAAGAAACTCGTATTGTAACTCATATCGTAAAGGTGACGCACCAACAGGTAAATCATGAATTTGTCCCGAAAAACTGTTAAATGGGGACAAAATTACAGCATCATTACTAACATTAGTAGACCAGGGTTTTACTCGATTTTCGTTACAATTTTCTGAAACCTCTGCTTCCAGATTTATTCTATGCTCATCTTCATCTTCTGCTATAAATGATTCTTCTTCATTATCATTTATTTCTATTTTTTTCCTATTGGTGTCTTCTGATTCTAAATCTGACTCATCTGCATCATTAAAAAGAATGGCCACAATTTCTTGTTGAGTTAAAACTGCGATATTTGCGCATTTTGATTAAAAGCACACTCTACCAAAAAAGAATGAACAACAAGCTACCTAAGATAACAAACCTCTTAGGACAAGCTGTCTGCAGTAAACTGATACAAAGCATTGGGGAAACTGCATCTGCTAGTGCATACCTTGGGGGGAGGGAAGAAAACAAGATTGCAATCTTGGCCGTTTTCGGGCAGTTTTGGTTGTCTCAATATAGAGCCGTGTCGGGTGGATTGGCTATGAAGAAGTTAAAAGTTGTTTAAGTGCCGCTAAGCCTAATAATTTTTTCCATAGTGGCCGTTGCTTGTTTACATTTGAAACAGCAGAATAGTAGATTTGTTGCCAACTTAGAGAAAGTAAGCTTTGCTATAACAAAGATAACGCCTTCTTTTATTATTGCTAATTAAATCATGCTTAATCCATTCTGGAATTCATTCGAGGAAATAAGTGTTTAAAATTTACTTCATAATTTTCAATACAGACATCTTGAGTTTTAATGTATTTTGCCTCGTCGCGAAGTGAGAACTGAATTAATTGAATGACAAATACTGAATCGTCTGTGAAAAACTTTTTTTTTTTGTTGTTGTTGTTCTTTGCTTAATTTCTTTTATACATCGTTTTAGATTTATTATAGTATTTGAATAGAACATGTGGCAATGATTAGATAATTCTTAAGATGATATAAATTTTGAGCATTCTGAGTTAAAAAATGAACAAAATGTAATGCTGTTAAGTGAACCTAGGGCCAGAGTGTCGCTATGGTTAAAAAAATATAGTGAATTTTAAAGAGTGCATTTTTTCTATTGTGGTTTATGCGCTATCGATGAAGTAAATTTAATTCAATCCAATAAGTTTAAGTAAAATGCAAGAAAAAATGGGTAAAATTTAATTAAAGGAAGCCATGTGGTGCACACATCACATTTTTTTAATATAAAAGAAGTAATAGACACTACAAAAAAATGATGGCATAGTAAATTATTTATATTAATTAGCATTTATGATGAAATGGAAAAACTGACATTAGTAATTTATGAGAAACAGTACAGCTTCAGCAAGATTTTTGATTAAAAAATCGTAGATCCGATTTGATAAACTTCAGAGCTGAAGAGAGTCTTTCCACACTAATTTCAGTAGAAGGAAGAGCTATTACTGTTAAGGCTACTTCTTTTAACTCTTTAGGATAGATTTGTATAAGTTCTAAAAGAGGTGTCCTGCAAGAGTGATCATATTTCTCTATTTCTTCAAGGGGTGTGTAGAAATCTTTTTTGTAGTTTTTCATTTTTATATCTAAAGTTTCTTGGTTCTTTATTTTCATTCACTTCAGCCTTTTCATCTTCATCTTCTTCAGCCTTTTCAATATTACCCAAATATTTCTCAAAGTCTAATTCCTCAATGGAAGAGGATGATAGAGACTCATTTGCAATGTCTGCAATCTGTCTTGATTTGAATACTCCAGTTGTTCTGAGAATAATTTCATTCTTAGTGAAAGTTCATAGATGGCTTTCTTTGCCTTTCCAATTTGTTCATCATCCAACAAAATTCAGTGTTTTAGATCTACATATATTAAACGCATCCAGATATCATTGTCTAGCAAACTAGTTTCTCTTTTCTTCATTGAGAAAATGACTCCTTCTGCAATAAGCTGTCCCATTTTTGAAAGAACAAACATCGAACTTTCCATTCTCGCAAAAAAAGCCTACTGTTGTTCTTCAGATTATAGCTTTTTTGTGGCTATATAAAGTGTAGAAAGAAGAGTTTCCAATTCTGCAAGATCATTCCAGTCTTTCTGTTAGTGAAACATTATGGTTATCTATATCTTCTAAAAAAATTCTTAATTCTAACAACCTCTTTATTATCAAATCTATACTTTCCCATAGCGTTACTTGATTAATAATTGCTCCTTTTCCTGCTCGCCTCCTAAGAATAGCATCACTTTTGGGAATCCTTGCTGCTACTGCTGCTCGCTTAAATTTAACAATGAGATTTGTAGCAATTTGATGCATTTTTCAGCCATGGGGTCCTTTTTCTTGTTGTGAATTATGCTACAATAATGCCATCTATGAGCTGAAGATGTAACTAAATGAATCAGTTTATTAAATAATGGCAAATATCACATCCATCCTCATCCATAATATTTATTTATTAATATGTCAATCAAATGGAAGTCCATAAATAAAAACAATAACTCAGTTTGTCATGAATTTTTTTTTTTCAATTCACTTTTATTTCATTTCAAATTGAAACTGTCCAACAAAAACTGAAGTCGGAGCAACCCTTAGCTCTGACTCCTTTAACCCAAAATCTGCCTAACTCCAATTCCGACTAGACAGCCCTGATGATAATTAATGAAAAACATTTAGTATACATTATTAACAAAATAACATTAAATTAACTAAAAAAAAATTTCAAATCTGCAATTAAATTTCTAGAATGTTTTACTAAATTTAGATGCAAAATTTTAAATCTGTTGCACAGTTCTCATTTTTGCATCTCTTAAAAAAAGTTGATATAATTTAGCCAATAAAATAAATGAAGAACGTTAAACATTAACACAAAGATCGAATTTTCCCAGTAAAGCAGAGGAAGGTTGTAAAAGCATTAGAAAGCCACAGCATAATGATTTTTTTTTTTTTTTTTTTCTTCCAATTACTGTTCTTTCTTGATGTTGCTTTCAAAGAACTTTGAATTTCAGTTAGGCAATTTAGCACTTTTCAACTTGCAATTTAATTCCAAAGGACAATTTTTCACAAGGTATGAGACCGTGTCAAAAAATATGTATATCAGCTTTATAATTTAATTTAATAATATTCTTTCTCTTCATTCCTTATTTTTAATTTGGGTGTTTCCTCTCCCTATTCTAAAAATAATAATATTTTTTCTGAACTGCACCATTTCTCGATCAAGCTCTTTCACAGAGCTTGCATAATGCGGATGACATAGTTAATTCGGAACCTAAACTCAAAATTTTGAGAATTAAAACCTTTCTTTCCTAAACCAAAACCTTCTTCTTGGCAATCTTTCATATTGGATAAATGCACACTTTAGCTTTAACTTCTGTGCTGCTCGGACACTCTTTCACTATGCTCTCTTCCTAGTGCAGTAGTATAAAAAATGTTAATGTTCTGGAAATAGGCACGATTAGAGTGGCCACAAATGTCAATTGAAATTAAAAGGAATATTTAGTATTACTCGGCTGCCAAGTTTTCTAATCACAACGGATTCAACTTATTAGTATAATATGCAATCAGAATTCCTCCTCTTCAATATGGCATCTACAATACATCATCACTACTTTCTGCGTTTCTGCGTCTCAATGCTTCTACATCAGTGCTTCCAAATCTGTTTTCATTACACACACATAACTATATATACAGTGGCTCCCAAAAGTGTTTGTACACTTATGATTTTCATTGAAATAGAGCTCTATCCATTAATTAAAAGTAAACTTTCTGAATGAGATTTTAATAATAAGAATCTATAATCTATTCGTAACAGTATCCCTTGAAATATATCTTTGGCATATATATGCAGAGAAAGAATTACAAATACAAACCTCTTTCAAGCATTCTCACAGCTTCACCCATATATGGAACTAGTAAACGATTGACTACAAAACCTGGAGTATCCTAAAATTTTGAAGAAAAATTATGCTTATTGAAAAATAAAATATATAAATATTATACATAAAATTAGAAGACAAATATATGTCAATGTAAAACATAAAATTAGGCAAAACAGCAATCTCATTTTGTCATTTGCAGAATTCTTTTTGTTCCTGAAAAAGAGGAATTTTTATCTAATCACCCTCAAAACCGATAGTGTCTTATTCAAAATTTATGCCAAAATAAAGTTGCCGTACTGATTAATTCTGAACATTACATACATTTTACAAATATTCCCAGAAATATTAATAAATGCACATAATTCACAGAAAAGTACATGAAAAGATATATCACAGAAATATATATAAAATAAGTATATATCAAAGAAAGTATATAAGTATTGTATAGTAAGTGCAACTCATAAAGCTAAATCAGAATTATGTAATTATTGAAAGTCCTCAATGCAAAACAGAGGTATAAATTAAAAACTAATTTTTTCACACGCACATAAAGAGGTTAATTTTCATCATTTATTGGAATTAACAGGTTTTTGTAACATAACAGGTACCAAATTTTTACAGATTTTAAAAATAATTTCAGATGCAAATTATATTATTATATAAAAATACATTTAAAATAGAATTATTATTTAATGATAAAAATATTCTATCCAAGATGATTTTTCACTATAAAAAAGTTTACAAAAGTAATTTGCAAACTGATCTTTCAATTTCCAGTCAAATAATGAATTCATTTTCTTTAATCCTTTTTCAGTACTATGTCTGTGTTTCTCTCTTTCTTCCTCCTCTTTTTGAGTGTGTTTGTGCTTAATATTCTATTATGCATGTAAATGAATATAGTATTTTTATAGGTGACACATATTATGACATCTAGTTTCATGTTTGGCATCAATAATCAAACTTCTTTTTGTTAAGTACAATTCTAGATTAATCCTGGAATTATAACCCCTATGCATTTGATGAAACAAAAATTGATACCAAGGCAATCCAATCGAAACAAGCAAAACTCTATACTTGTCCACAAAATCAACATTGTTTGTCACAAAGATATGAACAGTCAACATAGAACATTTTTGCTCCCTGAAGTAAACGCACCTCAATGTCAGTATTTCTCAAATGCAAAGATTCCTGTCTCCCCTTCCCCTAAAAACACCAGCATCAAACTAGGTTGAATTATCCTCAATTTTCAAAAGAAATTATGATTTCTAAACGGCTTTAATTTCACTACTTAGCATTGTTTTATAATAATTTGGAATTTAAATTAACTATATTAAGTCGCATGAGTGGGCAAAACTTTTCTATTGGGATATGATTTTAAATAACCTGAAAATAACACCACTTTACTACATCACAAAATTCTCCACATTTATTATAAATAATATAAATATCTATTGTTAGGATAAAGACGGTTTTTCAGCCTTTTGATGGCCATCAATTCCAGCTCAGCTCGCATTCCAGTTATGCACTGCAGTGGACGCTAACAAACCCAGCTCACATTACAAATTTACAACTGAAAGATATTGTGCATATTTGGAAAGAAAGACTTGCTTAATTTTGCAACTGCTGAAGGGTTAATGCAAATTAAACAGCATTTGTTAATCTATAATATATCTAAGCTAGCAATACAATTAAAAAAGAAAAACTATTAACAAAAATACAATATATATTCTGCATATATCAGACACAATAAATTAAAAATTATACTCCAGAATTCTGTCAGTATTTGCAATTTTAATATACACAATAACATACCTTACAAGTTATGGTTTCTTTACCAAGGTTTTTACCAAATTCCATCATTTTGTTGTAAGTATCATCACTTGTTTCTGTTGTTCTAATAACCTAAAAAATATTACCTTTAGATGAAAGTATGTATACAATAATTAACATATAAAATGTTGTAAGATAAACATTAATAACAATGTTATAAAGTATTAAACACTTTTAAAATGATTTTATATAAAATTTACTTTATCTAATAATAAGAATAATCTAATAAATTAAGAAATACTATGGATTGTGAAACTGGTCCTCTTCTATAACCTACTTCTTTGAATGGATCAGGCTGAACTAGAATGATGAATTTGTAGCTATTCAACTACTGAATAACTATTGCAAGTGGTATGACTAAAATTGCTGAATTTTTAATATAAACTTTCCTCTATTACCTGCTCTAAGACAATTAAATTTCAATTACTTTTTAAGTTTCTGCCAGTTACTACCACATGAATCTTTAACAGTGCCAGTTTTTAATCACTTTGATAGGAATTACTAGTCCTGGTGTATCAATGAGTTCAGTGAGAGATTAATGTGGAATCCATTAAAAACATACAACAAAACAATGATTCATTTATTTAGTGGCTATGCTTGACAATTGCAAAGTGTAGATAATAACAATTAGTTGTTCATTGAATGAATTTATTATACTATAAATATGTGATTCATTGCTTTACTGAATATTATAATAATTCTATGATTACGAATGGCTAATCTGCAGAGGGGGAGGGACTAGATTCATCAGTATAGAATTCCTTTCCTTTCCTACTACTCTTCAAATCCTTTTTTGAGTTACTTTAAAGAAATCAAGCCTTTTTTCCAGATCATAAACTAAGAAATAATGAATTAATAAATTATAATTTGTAGAGCCTGATGACTAGACTATAGGGGATAAAAACTGTGTGGTGTGTACATTATGTTTTAGAAAAATTCCTTCAAGTTATGTTTTACATTTTCAGCAATTGACATCAATAAATATTTTGCAAGCTCGCTACATGCTATATCAAGCATTATCTGATGGGCCACTTTTTATCAATGAGTTCAGTAAGAGATTAATGGAGCATCCATTAAAAAGCATAACAAAACAATTATTGATTTATTTAGTGGCTACACTTGACCATTGCAAAGTGTGGATAATAACAACTGATTAGTAATTCAATTGAATGAATTCATTATACTATGTGATTCATTGCCTTACTAAATATTATAATATAAATCTATGATTATGATTACAAATGGCTAATCCGCAGGGGAGGAACTAGATTCATCAATATAGATTGCCTTTCTTTTCTTACTACTCCACAAATCCTTTTTGAAGTTACTTATATTCTTATTATTTATTATATTTACTTATTTTCTTTTTATTTATTTCTAAGTTTATGATCTGTGAAAAAGTCTTAAAGAAATTAAGACTTGCACAGATAATAAATTAAGAAATAATGAATTAATAAATTATTATTTGTAGAGTCTGATAACCAGACTATAGGGGACTAAAACTGTGTGGTGTGTACATTATGTTTTTGAAAAATCTTTCAAGTTATGTTTTACACTTTCATTAATAATTGTAATAAATAATTGTTGACATTAATAAATATTTTGTCAGCACAATACTGCTTGAAATGATTAACAAATTGATTTTACTTCTAAGAGCTTCATAACTGGAACAGGATTAAAAAAATGAAGACCACCAAATCTGTCCTTCCTTTGAGTGGCACTAGCAATATCTGTGATTGAGAGAGAAGATGTATTACTGGCAAACAATGTAGAGCTGAAAAGAAAAAAAATCGTTTACATTAATACATACAAAATTGTGTCAAAACTTTTACAAACCCTGATGTTAGTTTTGAAGTGTTTGTTAGTGCAGATAATGATGTTGCTGTACGTCCTCGAGTGAAATCTGATGTACAAGCAGTTGTGTCACAGATGCAAGAAATGTCATCAGAAGAAAATGAGGAGTACAGTGTCATTCCACCCACCAGCCAAGAAATGTTACACGGCTTGGACACTGCAGAACACATTGCTGCAACATCCGAACTGACCGCTATTTTACGGAAGCCATGAGTGCAGTTGGCCGTGAAGTTAACAGGCATTTTCCTTCCTGTTTGCAACAGTGCAGTATACAGGAATGTTTCACCAAAAAATGATGAGTATATTTTCTCTAGTTACAGTAATTAATGTAGTACTGTAGTGTTTTCTATGATGACATACATAATATAGTATAGTACTCGTATAACTATACACTGTAAATGATTAATATGAAAAAAAAAAATCATTCCAAAAAAAATTTTGATTCCCCAGTTAACAAGCATTTTTTTAGCACGAACTCTTCATTTTCCAATCCCTTGAAATTTGTGTTGTGGAGGGTCTGCTGTATTTCCATTCTCATACTGTGTTTCAGATGAATTTAAATTTACTACTTATCACAAATGTTAACCATTAGTAACAAATGTTAACCTTTTAGTGTCTTATAAAAATCCCATATCATGTATTAATTTTTACCTGCAGTTAGCACTGGCTTCATTTAGATTAATATTTAACCCAGGTTAAACATTATAGTACAACACTGCTTGTATACTAATATAATAACTTTGCTTATACACTATAATAACAAAAATAAACTATGCTACATTAAAACAGACTTGACGACGCATACTTTTTTGAGTACTATAACGGTATCTGCACAACCATGACAAGAATCACCAGGCAAAGCACTATGTTCAGTAGGTAACCAAAGCACTATGTTAAGCAGCCAAAGTAGGTGACCCAGAAATTTATGAAAATGCACTTCATATGGCAAACCACATATGGTCGCACTTGCCGTTTTGGAATTCGAGGTTTGTTTGCAATTTTTGCTTGTGAATAGTGTGCAGAGTGATTCCCCCCCCTTTTTTTTCTTGTAACAAATTGTAAAGGAACTGTGGAGTTTGCCTGCTAATGAGGAAAAAAAGTGTTGCATTTTTTCAGAAATATGGCATTTTGCCTAGTATTTGGTAGGAATGCAAACCTCATGAAGCTGCATTTTAGAAATGATCAAATTGTATGGATATACTGTCAAAAATTGCCAGCAAAGTATCTGAATACAGCACATTATTTATCTCCAATGTTACATCATTATACAAATCTTGCAGCTCAGTAGTAGTTTATGAACTATTCTTAGGCGAGTGTGATAATATTTTCCTCCAAATATATGCAATTCTCTGTGATTTTTTTTCAATTAAAGCAAGTTTTAACATACATGAAGAGCAAAGCAAACTACTCTGCAATGCCAAGAATTCCAATTTTTTTTTTTTTTTTTTTTTTTTTTTAGTTAAAATAGATTGATATGTATATGCCAAGAAGTCCCAAGTCCCAAGTCACACAGCAATGCTGAGAATTCTACAGTTCTCCGATGCTTTCTTAAGTTAAAATAGATCACTGTGCACACTGCATGCAGACAGAAGACCAAGTAATGGAAAGTTAAATGTTTCATTAAAAGATGTTTCTTATATTTTTAATTTATGAAATTTTGAGAGTTTTGATAAGGATATTTGTTTTTTGTAATTTTTACTGTTTCATTATGGATGTTTCTTGCATTTTTAATTTCATTTAGACATTGATGTTTTATGTAATTTTCACTGTTCCTTTTTTTTTTAAATGGCTACAGTTTTTTACTGGCAAAAAAACAGTTGCCATCAAGTGGCAACTTTGGTTGGGCAGATAATTGAGAGTACCCATTTTATTTTTTATTTCTTATGTCAATCAGCACAATACCAGAAGAATAACTGACACCATTGGTCCAACCTTTAACTGCAAGTTTTGATTATCCAACACCTAAGCATATTTTGGGGGAACACCCAATTTTTGAGGATTATTTAAATGACAGTTTGTTTAAAGTTTACTTCTACTGCTCTTTATTTATATTTGCTTTTGAATTTTTGATTTGCATATAATGATTTTAGACCAATTTGGTTTTTATGAATGGTCATTTTACATACTGCAAAGTTTTATGGTTTTTTGAGTAGTCAATTTGACACAATGTTATGTTTTATTCTTTTTTTCCAAATGTTTCGAAGGCATCTAAGGAAAATCCTGGTACATTTGAGATTCGATTTTTCAGTTTATATGAATTTTCATGTTTTAATTTAATTGATTCTTTTTCAGTTTTTGATCTCAAATGAACCAGAACAAAACACATTTTCGAGACATATCAATTGACTTTTATGAAACTTTACTTCATTCCCCGATGAGTTCGGAATTGGAATTTAAAAGTCTATTAATTTTTTAACTGTATTATCCTGTATATTTTTCCCTTTTATTTTTTTTATTGATTGAATTTGTATTACAGTCATAAGTCGTTAATTCGGACACCCATAATCCGGAATGATCTATAATCCGGACATCAAAGCTAAAAACTTTCTGCGCATGCGCCGCGTTGGCACATGCTCATAGACGTTTATGCATGCGCGTAAGACTGTGCATATGCATGTGCGCAAGCGCTGAATACGTTTTCGCATGCGCGTTTAATGTATAACAAACGGTGTAAGCTAAAATTATCTAATTATCTATTTCAGTTAATGTTAATGATTGCGTTGTTCCTTAATCTTCGAATTGGATCCCGCTTATTATTTTTTGCAGACTGTAAAAGCAATTTTATTAAAGTAAACTTGAACTTTCGATTATGTCAAATAGAATTACCGATGCTGGAACTTCCAAAGGATCTACAAAACGAAAGTATGTTTCGATGTCCAACAAACAAAAAGTGGAATTGCTGCAAAAAATGGATAAAGACATGAAGAATGTGACAGAGAGGTTAGTGAAAACGAAAAAATTTCGATTGACAAGTTAGTCGGTATTCTCGGCACAGCAATTATTAACGGGACTTGAACAGCGGAACTTTGTAACTGAACAAGAAATTATGTCTGTTTATAGAATTAAAGAGAAAGTATTATCACATAACACGAAGAAACTTAAACAACTTACATTGAAAGAAATGTTTAATAAAGTAAACAAATAAATATTAAGCTCTTTTTTTTTTGTAAATTTTGATACCCTTTAGATCATAATTGTTCTTTATTTCATAAATTACAGTTTCATATTTTTAATTTTAGAATTTCTGCATGCCATCTTACGAGATTTAAACTGATGATCTATAATCCGGAAAAATCGATAATCCGGCATCGCCAAAGTCCCAACGAGTCCAGATTAACGACTTTTGACTGTATTATGAATCCTTATTTTAATTTTGATTTGTTTAGATATTGTGTTAAAACTCTTATACACGGTAGTTGCAATTATTAATATTGTTGAGGAATTGCCTTGCTTTGACTTTAAATGCTTTATATTCATAAAAATTTTGTTTTTAATTTTTAGTCTCATATTAGGTTTCTTTGTGTATTTATAAAGTAATACCATTCCACTGCAAATAGGAAATATAATCAGTTTGCTTACACACTCTAAAAATGTCTCATTTCTGACATGAAACTAGTGAGAAAATTACTACAGTTCAATAATCCTTCAGCTTTGAAATAAAATAAAAATTTAAGCTGTACAATTGAGTTCCAAATGGTTCTTAGCATTGAAAGAATCATATGAAAATACTGAAATAGTCTAGCCATTTTTGCTGCATTCAGTTTACGGAATTTTTAATACAATTTTTGCATATTGTACTTAATGATTTACAGAATAATAATAAAATATACAACACATTTCTATTTATTGAAGCATTGTAGCTTAAAGTGTTTAAAATGCTAAAAATTGCATTCTAAAATATTTATAAAAATGTGACAAATATAAATTTCATTCATATACAAATAGATCATTATAACTGTTTTTCTAAATGCTTAATAAATACACAGTAGGTTTTTTTTTTTTTAATTTTATTTTATTTAAAGAACTACAAGCTCTTTTTCTTAATTATTAATCTTAGACATGAACCTTTAATAACAAAAGTTCTTAAAATAAAATACAGAATTTGGTGAAAACGGTTTCAATTCTGTGGATGAAAGAATTTGAAAAAAATGAAGTCTTTTTTCTAATAATTCTAATATAAGAAAACTTTCAGTTAATGAAAATATTGTTACGAAATGTACAGGCACAGTAAGATGGCTTCCCCTCAAAGCAGTTTTAGGGTTGCCGTAAAATGGCAAGGTAATGCATGGTTGCCACATTTGACGAGAAATCGCCCATTTGGCAACAAAATTGGCAATATTCCATGGACGGATGGAGAACCTTCTGGAACGAATTCTTACCAGTTTACCCCAGAATGTTCTCAAACACAAGCCAAAAGCTATATAAACCCTGCTGGTCCGCAGTCAGGAAAGTGTGCGTCTCTCATCGAGTGAGTGTGTCTTGTCTAGCGAGTCGATCCCTGCGGAAGCGATCGTGTTGACAGCCGGCCAACGAGTGCCGAGTGTACCGAAAGTATCATAGAGTATCGCGGTTAGTGCATCATCGAGAGAGCGTGTTGAGCTCCGGAAACGACTGAACCGAGAGTCAGAAGCTGTGCTCTGTGTGTCGTCGACTGCATCACGAGTGGTAGCGTGGAGAGTCTTAAGAGTACGTGGAATTCCGAGAACGACTAAGCAAAGTCGGGTGCTTTGCAGGAAGCTGTCTCCACAGTGATAACCTAAAAGCTGTGTCGCTGATCGTGTCAGCGTGTTTATAGTAGTTCACTGACGACTGTAAAACGTGTTTTGGAGCTGTCCTGACAATACTGTCTAAATAAAGTGTGTTTCAATACTTCAGCAAGTAGTATTGTCATTATTCACTCCAAATCCATATGAACGTGAAGGAAGAAAATAACATAACAACTGGTGTCAGAAGAAGAGAAAACCGTAACATTTATTATGGTTTAATCAGACACATGTTCTACACTTAATAGTTTTAATTTTGCCACCCAGAAGAAGTGAAAGCAAGACAGCTAATAGCTTAAGTACCAAAAACCAGGGTAATAGCTTAAGTACCAAAATCCAGGGTTAATAGCTTAAGTACCAAAAACCAGGGTAATAGCTTAAGTAGCTTAAGTACCAAAAACCAGGGTTATGAATAAATAAATGTTTTCATCAGTTATAAACAATAAGATTTATATTTTCATATGGAAATTCATACAGATATTCAAAACCAAATTTGAGCCATTTTTCAATGGCTGTTTCCTGATTTGCATTATTTTTCTCTGCCTATTATTAATATAAAGTAACATATCTGTAAATAAGTTTAGGAAGCATTTAAAAAAATGCTTTTGGACAAAATATGAGTCTCTCTTGAATAATGAAAAAAAAAAAAAAAAAAGGGGGGGGGGGGACATTTAATTCAACTCACAGCCGACCCTCTGGAATGTTTACTACATACAACTCCATGGACTTTTAATACATAATGAAAATGAACTGCTACTATGAATGAAGGTATAATAAAAATGAGTAGTTCATTTTCATTATGCATCAAAAGTCCATGGAGGTATACAGTAAATATTCTACAGAGTTGGCAGCATGATGAAAATTTTGCAAATTAGTACTTTTGCTCAATAAATACCATGTTTTTCTATTTTTTTAACAAGACATTTTTTTTCACAATGTTAAAATTTTTTCATAATATTCTCTATCTTGTTTGAAAAAACTTTATAATTGACAGTATATATCTTAACAAATATTTAAGGAAAGAAAGTTTGCATCAACTTTTTTAAATACCAGATACCAAATCACAATAATATTTGAAATTTATAATTAGCTAGTTATAAAACTCAAAATAGAAGGGTAAATTGGTCTGTAATCTAATTGTAGTTAATTAACACATAGGTTTGGCATGAATAGGCCATGCACAGTGAATTAATTAAAATACTGAATTTTAATTATTTTACTTTGAAAATGTTAATAGGTTTATTTAAGTCTAAGAATATTATTTTGAGCTGCTATTCTCATCTATGTTTTGATCAATAAATTTAATAACTTCTGAAAGTTAAACTTTTATTAAAAATTTCATTAAAATCCAATACACTCAAACTTAATACTCAGCCAATTACTTATTTACATTTTATTCTTAGAGTTTTAATGCTTAAATTTCACATAATATTTAAAGTTAATATTTATGTGACATGGTGAAAGTGCAAAATCGCCCACTGCTTGGCGCGTTTTTAAGAATTACACATATGTGGTATCCATGTACACGTCGACCTATTTTCACTTAAAAAAAAATCCCAGAATTGCACAAAAATGGCATTGCGCACACTCTTGACTTTATCCGTGTACACATCAATCTATTTTCTTTTAAAAAGTCAAAGAAAACTGACAAAAATCCAATTCTTCTTACTCTTGTAAAAAGCGCCAAACAAATAAGTGGGCGATTCTGCACTTTAAGCCATGTGACATTTTACATTCAGTTATCATGGTATAGCTATTAGTCAATATTTTAACTACTATGGCCCCAATTTAATCAAAATATTCAATATTTTAACTTCATTTTGCCATAGCTCTAACTAAGCAAATCATATTAAGAAGACTACCAATAAAATAACAAATGTGTGTTTTTAATCAGTATTTGTGTTAAAGTTTTACGGTAAACTGAGTATATATGCTGTGACTCTTTCAAAGTAGAGGACCTTTCAAATATAATGTTTGGCAAGGAATAATGCAAGAAATACGAATACTAAACAACTAACACAGATTGCAGAAATACTGGTGAGGAATATCATCTGTCGAAATTTAGATGCACATTGATTTATGTTGTTTTAAGTCAGTCCTTAGAGCAATTCTTTGTCTATTGCCCTATGGAAATTTTAAATTTCTAAATTAAAAGCACTTACCTAGGAGCAGCTTTATCCAAAGATCTGAATAAATCTTGTTTAATACTTATGTTTTCAACAATTGCTTCAATCACAATATCAGCATTTTTTACAGAATCCTCTGGTTTAGTATTAGTTTGCAATCTTTTAAGAGTTTCAGAAATAAATTTCTCACCATCCTGCAACATAATATGTTCAATACTTTTAATGTAGAGATTTACCAGAATTTTTCAACAAAAGAACATACAGATTTCTAATACAGTAGAAGTTCAGAAATTCGCAAGGCTTGGGAACAGAGGTTGTGCGGATTTTAGGATTTTGCGGATTTCAGGACAGAAAAGATAATATTCATACTAAAAAGTGCAAAATAAATAAGGCGTATTGGATACATTTAATTAAATTATTATATACATTAATACAATAATTAATTATATGCATTAAACTATTATTACATATATAAACTGATTATATTACATTATATTGTTCATTTACATTAGGCTCCTCTATTTTTAAATCAGAATGAATCTGCTTCCCCTTTTCTCTCAAGTGTAGTCCTGAAATAGGTACCCCATCACTCCGCCGCTGCCGGAACCACTTGTACAAGACAGCATCGAGGTTTGCTGATTTCATCTCACATAAAGATTTCCGGTTTCGGATTCCGGTGTTAGAATCACTGTTGCTGTTAAATTTCAACAGCTTTTCTTTATTGTTCCGTATATCATACACAGTCCATGTGGCAATTACATACGATTCTGCTATAAACCGAGCAGTAGTACCTGCCTCCATCTTTAACAGAATTTCCAGTTTTTTCATTACCGTCAATGCAATGTGTTTATGCTTTTCAACATTGCAAGCAGTAAAATCACGAATGCGTTTCTTATCTGTCGTATTAAAATGTGCTGAAATTTAAAATATTCTTAATTTATCCACAAAATATCCGAATAACAAAAATGACATCACTAAACAATCTCGTGAAATAACAAAGCTTATAAAGTACAATGTGAAACGTGAACTTGAAAGAAGAGTCAATCCTTTGTTTTTTTACCTCAATGCAGATTGCAGGGAAAAAACATTTATCATGATGTCAATAATTATGTATTTTCGTTATGACTCATTATTATTCGGTAATTATGACGTCACTATCTAGTAAGTATTTTTTCTTTGATATTTCATACACCATGTTGCACTTTCTGGAACCTATAAACTAAATGTTTATATTTTGTGAGGCAACACGGATTTCAGGTCGGCAGATTTTCGGTATTTGACTGTACTTACAAACTGACTCTCTCAAGCATTATAATATTGTGAATATTACATTCTAACTAAGCAAAATTTTTATTTTCAGTTTAATATTTAAGTCTCTTCATTGGTTTGTATCTTTTAAATTCATCATCTCTTGCATTGATTCATGTTTCAATGAACAAGTTGTTTTCTTCATAAAAAACTCTGAAATCATTTCCCCAACTAGCATGGCTCTCAAACACATATTTTGGAGATATAAACATATCATACTTTATATTTCTAAAAATGCATATCTTATTTTCAGAGCTATACTACCTGGGTTAAGACCAATGAATTGCGTACTCCTTCCTCTATCCTACTCTGTAAATAATTATGGTTTCAAGCATATAAATAGTTATACACCATTAAGAATTCTGTTATTTTTCATTCTAACATCTCTTTCATTCCTTTCAGGAGCAGTGAATTATTACAAGAAGTAAAAGAAATTCAAAAATGAAATTACCAAGCACCAAGACAGGACAATTCTTCAGCATGCTCCCACCTTAATGCAACATTGAGGTTTGTGCACATTAATGGCTCAGAACATTATACTAGCAGAAACATGACTACATGCAAGATTGCCCAAGCCAGGTATTTGAAACTTACTCAGAAATTTTTGGGATACACAGAGACAATAAGTGGAAGAAAAAAATTAGCAGTCAGATTTGAGAATATGAATTATTTTAGCTTAGCAGATTATTTTTTATTGCCTAACTGGAAGTAGTTTAGCATAGAATAAATTTTAGGCAGAAGGAAAAATGGAGATGATGCAATAATATTATGGCACTGTTATTTTTCATGATTTTAAAGTGAGATTAAATCAAGAAAAGTATGTTCAATGTCTACAGTTAGCATTTGGAAATGAAGATCTATGTCAGCAGAAATTCTGGATAATGTGTCTGCCATATGGAAAAGGTTAATCGATGATAATCGTTGCACATACCAAATGATACAGAAGAAGCTTAATATTCGATCTGCTGCCGTACATAAAATTACTCAAGAAGAATTGCATATAAAAAACTGGTTTGCTGTTTATTAATATCCATAATTTAACTGAGCACCAAAAAGAGCAGCATGTCAGAATCAGCAAAGAAATCTTTAAATTACTTAAAGATGATGATTACCACATTATTTCTAAACTTGTAACTGGTGATGAAGTGCACATACGATTTTTTGACATTTCAATGCATCAAGAAAGTTAAGTATAGGTTTTTAAGATGATCCCATACCCACAACAGTGAAAAGAAAGCATGCAATGAAAAAAGTTATGTACGCTGCTTTCTTCAGAAGTACAGGACTGGTCAAAGCCATCAAGCTCGAAAAACAGACAATCACAGCTAACTGGTACACCACTAAGTGTCTTCCAGAAATTCTTCGAGAAGTGAATGTTAGAAGACTTGTGCTCCACTACGACAATACATTTTCTCATTCAGCAAGATTGACAATTGAGTTTCTTAAATAAAAACATTCCCCCTATTCACCCGATCTAGCTATGTGCGACTTTTGGCTATTTTTTAATCTAAAAAAGAACTTACAGTGATGTTGTTTTCATTTTGAAGGGGAGACTGATTAATTTTTTTCATCAATTCCAACAAATGAATGGCTTGAGGAATTTAATCTTTGGGAAATTAGCCTGCAGAAGTGCAATGAAGCTGGAGGAGACTACTTCGAACACACCTAAAATTTCTTCATCAGTATAACTTAAAAAACCTATGTCTATTTCAAAAATTTCAGAATGACTCTCGTAGGAAAAGGTAGGTGCCAGATGAAGAGATACATCAAGATCCTCCAGGTTGTAAATCAGACATAAGGCTAAAAACTATTATCTTGTAAAAAAATCCCTGGTAAAATTTTTAGAAAAAATTCTCTACTAAACTGGAGTGCACCAAAGGTCTTGGAACAATTTCTTTTCCTATCCAGCTTCTATCGAGTAGGCAGCACTGAAACAATTGAATTTGGCTTCCTGCAACTTTCTTGATTGTGAAGTTTGGTTATTTTTTGCATGCTTTCTAAATTTTAATTATATTTTATTTTAAAATTTGTAATTTTCAGTACAAGAGTTTTAAATACTTTTCCCCGTCCCTTCTTTTTCTAATATTTCAGTCTGAAGGATTTTATTTCTGGTGCTATAAGATAATAAAATTAATTTTTAACCCTCCGAGCGGCCAGGGTTTCTGCTAAGAAAGCACAAATTTCCCAAAACTGCTATGAGAACAAATTATTTTTTTTGATTTTAATGTAAAAACTCTCCTAGTATTTCATACCTGGATTTGTTTTCTTTTGATATATTGCCTTAATTTCTTTGACATTTTTTAATATGCATGTATATACACTGACTACCAATAAGTACTTGGACACCTGTGATAATAAAAAAAAATTAATTTAATCAAAATCAATACTTATTTACTTACTTATTGGTAGAGCCTCCACGAGAGGTAATTACAGCGTGGACCCTCTGGGGCATACTTTCCACAAGTCTTTGTATGACAGCTAGTGGTATTTTCTTCCACTCGGCTTGGAGAAAACATAGAAGTTCCTTCACTGATTTTGCACGGGTAGTGCACCCCTGAATTCGGCGATGCAACTCGTCCCAGAGGTTCTTGATAGGATTCAGGTCTGGACTCTGGGCAGGCCAGTCCATTCAATGAACTTCATTGGCACCATACCAAGCCTTGGTTAACGTCGAAACATGACAAATGGCATTGTCATTCTGAAAGTAACAGGGGTCCAACCCGTAAAACTGCCACAACGTAGGAAGCACATTGTCATCCAAAATAGTGCAGTTGGCATTGGAGTTGAGCTTACCATGAATGGGGACCAAGGGTCCCAGCCCATACCAGGAGAAACACCCCCAGACCATAATTCCACCTCCGCTGAACTTGACTATTGGCACAATGCATTACGTTCTCCAGGTAGACGCCAGACCCAGACCCTATCATCCGAACGGTAAAGAGTGAACCTTGATTCGTCACTCCAAAGAACCCGTTTTCACTGATCTACGGTCCAATTTCGATGTGCTTTGCACATTAACCGAGCAGCACGGTTGGACTTTGTGATCAAAGGCTTATGGGCAGCAGCACGACCATGAAAACCAAGCAGATGTGCTTCGGCCGACACAGGGCACATTCCGACAATCGCCGCTCACCTTCCAGTTCTTAATCACATAGGCCACTGTCGGTATTGGGTACTTCAGATCGCTAGATATGTCCCTTAATAATCGGCCACATTTGTGATACCCGATAATTATACCTTTCTCGAAATCAGAGAGCTCCAAACTGCGAGGCATCTTGCATGCGATTAAAGCTGATGCTGTTTCCTACACGATATATACCGGCGGAGTCCGTGACGTACCTTAGAACCGCAGATTTCGTCATTTGCATAGGTGTCCAAATACTTATTGGTAGTCAGTGTATACTTTCTTACAGATATCACAAAAAATATTCTAGGCCGTATATATACGGCCTTGCCACTTAGAGGGTTAATGGAGATTAATTTAATAAAGATTTGTCATATTTCTGTGTAAAATTTATATAAAAGAAGGTAGTAGTCAGCAAAAGTCTTAACACATAAAATCAGAAAAATTCATTTTCTTTTTCAGATTCAATAGAAATAATATGAAAGCATGTTCAAAGGTCATTTATTTTCATTTCAGCAGCATTCTTGGATTAATAAAATTAAATGAAAGTAATTAATAAACTAAAATGGAAGCACTTCCGCAGAGAACCCGGTAAATGTAAACATCGCCAACTAGGCGATAATAGTTCAAACCTGGTAACCCAACGGATTCATCCTATTCGCTTGTTCGAAGGTTGAAATCATTCCTCTTGCATTCATTTTGTTAAATTTTCACTGTCGTTCTTCGAATTTGCAGATTTATATTGTTCTTCTCTAATTTATT